TGGAGTGGATCTGCATCTCCGACTTGGAGTAGAAGGTCAGCGAACACATCCGGCACCTACGACCGGGACGAGGGGAAGAGACAGTGTCACGTGGGGGCGAGCCCCAATACCTATCAACTAACTGGACGGGGGCTTCCACACTAAGTGAAGAAGGGACGTTTTCTCACTCTGGTTCTGAGGAGGTTTCATCTGGGACACTGTGCTTGGCTGCAAGTACTCCGGTCCCAAAAGGTCAAACTTAAGCTAGGAATTGGCAGAAGACACCAAATGATACCTTGTAGCCAGACAAGTAAAGGTCTTGGAAGAATCAAAGGGCTTAATTTGTTGGCTTTCAAGGGAGACAGGGCAGTGCCTCGGAAATTTTCCAAAAGCAATCTGAGAGGGACAGGAATAATTCCCAGACAAACCCCACTTTGTTCAGCTATGATTTATTTCAGTCAAAAAAAGGTTGGAAAACCCGGAAATCCCAGGTTAAGGCTCATCTTACTAACAAAGTTTAGTTCCATGTACTGCAAAGTCTGCAAAAGCAGTTATGACCAAACCCACTTAACTCTGCTCCAATTTTTGGAAAAGACACTCGAGTATTTAGAATAAAAAAATGCCAAAAATAACACCAGTGCTGCTTTTCTGGCAGGTCTCAGAAAGATACTCTGGATATCAAATGTGGTATTTCACTAGTCTAATGGGCTTTCATAATTTCAATCTTACTGATGGGATGCAAAAGTTTTGTCAAGGAGTGTGGATCCATCTGTTCCCACATCGATCAGAAACTTATGTGGTCACACAGATCCTTTGAACAGGAAGAAGCAGTCAGCAGCTATCTGCTATGGATGCTGCTATTAAAAACTCTTCCTCCATTGTGACACATCAACATTACAGTTCAAAACAGTAAAAGCTTTTGTGGTTGATAATTTGACAGAGAGAAAGAAGTTGCACCCAAGTTACTGGACTTTTTTTTTTTTTTCCCTCCAAATACGTGCCAACCAAGGGGCAGAGTTATGATTTCTCTGTTTTTCCATTTGCAGACTTTTCAATTAAGCAAGACAAAATTAAGCAAGACAAAAGTTCCTGCACTTGGAACTTCCAGTGTCACATTTCAGAGAAAAAATGCTACCCAGAAAAAGTCTGGCTAACAAGACTTCAACCTTCACAGCAGATTGACTTCTGGTTTTGTCTGGGAATTTCCTCAAGTTTTAGAAGTTTTTACAAGTTTAGTGACAAGTCTCAGAGTTGATCCTGCTCTTCCCCATATCCATCTCCTTCCAGGAGGATACTTCATTATATCTATTGTGATGAGAACGTTGTGGCTATTTACACTGGAGCCAGAAGCTTTCTGAAGTGTGCAGCCTGATTAGCGTATGTAATGTAGGCAATATTTATCCAGCACCTACCTGACCTTCCACAGGTTCCTCCAAGCTATGGCTGGATTCTAAGCCATTTAACTGAAAGCCATGCCTCCCTAGCAAGCACTCTGCCAAACACCTGACGTACCATCTTTTTATTCTCCATTATTGTGTTTTGGTTTGTTTTTTTGTTTTGTTTTGTTTTGTTTTTTTTTACATTCATTTTCATCCTCAATAGTTGTTCCCAGATTTCCTGCCTTCGTCTTTCTCTTAATCCACTTTAATTGCAAACCCTAACAGAACATGCAAGCTAAACACATCCTCACAGAAATCCCCCCCTCACACATACAACAATCCCTTCTGCAATCAACACAAAGAAGCAATTTTGCTGTTTATCCCTAGGTCTATTAGAGATGCAAGGAGTAAAAGGGAACATTAGAATCAACTTTTTTAACACGTAGCTCTTGGTTTATAAACCCAACTGTCTCCAAACATTTCTGCAGTTTTGTTTCACTTTCCAAAATGTTTATAGCTAGACTTGAATATAGCATATGCATTTTGCAGTTAAGCCATGCTTACACAATGAGGATTGTATCTTTGAAAGCAGCAGTGCTACAAAAACCTTTGAGGTGAATACTGAACTGAAAAATATCTCTGAGCTACCAACTCCATTTCCTTGCTAATGCAAGCAATTACAGCATAATCCCACACAACTTTTATCAAGCTCCTTCTCAGCAGATGCTGACTTCCATTACTCTCAGTTGAGCTCTACTCCACAATATCAAGTCCTCTGGTAAGAAACTGTTCAATTGAGAACAAATTTAGTGCAGTGCTGTGCTAATATGGCTAACCAAACCGAAGGGGAATAGCAGGTATCATTTTTATAAACAGAAATGGTGTGACTATTCCTGCAGCAGCATGTCTACAATTATTGTTAAATTAAGACAAGTTCAGCAAAGTTGAAGAATGATGGTAGGTGGAAAATTGGCTTTGCAGTAAAGATTCACTGAGCCAAGTCCACCTAAGTTTGGAGAAAAGCTTAAAAGATAGCTTGGTCAATACCCATATAAATCTAAGTTGGGAGGAAAATATCAATTATTATGGGCTTGTTTTATGAGCAAAGAAAGGTACACTGAGAAACAGTAACTGACAGCAGAAGTTTAAAAATCCAAGAGGAAACAGGATGTTTCCAACCATAAGAATAATGCATCTTTGGAACAAAGTTCAGAGGCTATAGTATGGTCTCAATCACTTGGCCCCTACGATCAATACTTTGAAAAGCCAACTACCTTTCTGAGAAAAATACCTTTTTGCTTTAGTTTAAATAAAACTCTTCATGGTGCTATAAAACAGTCAGGGAGGCAGCTCAGGGTTGTGGCAACACAGAGCAGAGTTTGTGCCTTCAGTACTGACACACAAAGCACTCCTTGAAACTTCTAAGTCTTTTCAGGAAGAGCTGGCAGACAAACAAAAGGAGCTGTTTTTTCCCGTTGTAGGTGTCTGCAGCTCCATGTACCCTTCTGGAAAAGACAGTTAGTTGATTCTTGACATGCTGGGACCAGGGAGAGACCTGTGATAATATCTGGGTGTTGGGTAGGCATGCACCCCTCACGTGGGTACTCTTGCTCCTAGGTGGTACTAAGACTCTAGTCTATGTACACAGAAGAGAAGGCTCTAGCCTGGATTCACCTGCCTTGGCTCACACACCCCACCTGCACCCCAGGTCAGCCTGCTCTTGGGCCTGTCTGTTGATCTGTTGGCAGGCAGGATGCAGGAGTGGAATTTGTTCAATTACATTGGTTTCTACAACACTGGTTTTTCAGATGTGTTTCATCTCACTCTAAAACAGATGGGTACATTTTTACTGTCTAAAACATTAACTTGATCTTAATTAATTCCAAGGAAGCCCAGGATTACTTGCTGAAAATTCTACCCTGAAGTCATCTAAACTTACATAAACACAATGCTTGACACTAATCTCTTCTGTGCTGTTCACATGACTATGTATTCTAAACAGTCTATTATGTTCTGAAAAATTCATGAACTTTCCTATGTCATCAAGTCTGTGTAGTTCTATGAATTAAATCTGTAGTGCCATAAAGCCATCTACTTTATCTTCCCTAAGTAAAGGATGCAGAGAAGTTGCCTGCTTTGTCAGGTATCTGCCTTCAGGTCAGGAACTCCCTAAAATAAACTTCAATGAAGAGAAAGAGACCGAACATCCCTTTCCATTTTCAAAATAAAATAATTATAAAAAAGGTATTTCAAAACCTCTCCAACACCTGCATAAAAATGGAAGATAAATCTGACTGTTAGCAAAAACACACCCCTGAAAAAAATATTCAGAAGAGAGGGGTGGGGTTTTTTTTTTAGCAGCTATGGACATTCCAGTATTGTTTTTCAAACAACATTTAAAAAGAACATCTTGCAAGGACTCGTTTTCTGATCATCTAGTTAGCATCAGCCCTGAGAAGGCAAGAATGTATACAGCATGAACAAATTTATGACTTAAAAAAAGCCCTGGAATACAGCAGAAAGCTGCATTTCCCAGAGTTTTATATTCTGTGGTATAAGGCATTTTCAAGGGACCAAATGATCCATTTAATAGAGGGCTTCACATTCTGCCTCAGACAACATCAAATATGAAAGGGGACGATGCAATCAGCCCTCTAGTGGGCAAATATGGATGAAGTAAATGTTAAACCTCTACGGATAATGAGAACATCACATCTGACACTGGTAGTGTTTCAGGATTTTACTTCTCCTTGCTGGGGAGAGGAAGAGTTGGGAGTGCTCCTTGCTAAGTATGAACAAAACATTATATGAAATAATTGATCACCCTCTGCCCGTTTAATATCCATTTTTAATCTTTTCTCCCCAGTTTGCTACCACTACTTTTACTTGCTGTGAAAGAATACAGTGACAAAAATGACTGCAGCATTCCCATTAACAGTGTGACACAACATCCCTACAGCTGCTTGTTATGGCTCTGCACATTTAGACAGCTTAGGAGAATACAGTCTTAATAACACAGAGGTTCACATAAATAGTTAATTTAGTACCCAGCCATATGCTAGGGATCAAAAGTAACCCTTTCAATATTTATAATCCTTTCTTTCTATAGGGAATCTGCATGGAAATAAAGTGAGACATTCAGAGGATGTTCATGTTAAGACACAAATACCCTGAAAAATCATGGAATGCCAGTAAAAGGTGAATGTACAATTCTAATTCTGCTCTCATGAGAAAAATCATCATGATGAGTCATAAAGAAAATGCTTATAGCAACTAGACTACAACTGTGTCACACAGTACCTTTTTTTTTCCTACTTTTCATGGAACGTTCTACTTCATTCATCAGATGCTGTTATGAGATAAAATACCATCTCAAATGCCAGTGCATAGTAAAATTTCCATAACATGGATTAACACCATTTTTCAGTCAAGTGCTTAACTGATCAGTATCACAGCTGTGAAAACTATGCACGTTTTTACATGGCTTTGAGAATTCCAGTTCCTGTTATCCACTGAAATATTAGTCTTAGAAGTTAAGTAAGCCCTTGCTCATTCTCTTCAGCTACAAACACAAGTTAGACCACAAGTTTAAAAGAAAAATAAAAAACAGATCTTGAAGGTGTGAGTTAAACTAGATTCTAAGAGTAAGTTTAGGCTGTCAGAGTCAGCAGTTCATTTAGCAGGGAAAGAAATGTATT